AATCAGATTTTGTAAATGAAATTCCTTACTGCTTTGTCTATAATTATACAGGTTGCATGTACTTGATTAAATGTTGAGCTATATAAAAGGGATTTTCTCAGTTTATTTTTCTGCTGTTTACAAGTTTAAAGAATAGTTAAATAAAAGTTAGTGTATCAATCTTGTATACCATAAAGATTTAAAATATTCAATCTGGAAACAGTTAATTAATAATTATATACTACACAAACTTTTCTATCTCCAACGTTTCGAGGGGTTAAACCCCTCTTTTTCAAGGGGTATCTGTTTATTTTTATATAAATCACATATTTATCTTCTTACATGTCTTATCTTAAACTATGTTATGCATACAGGAAATGACGTCGTTTACGTCAACAATAAAAATTACGCAAAACATGATGATGACGTTTTCCGTCAACATTGTTCCACTGCATAACGTTGCTCTCCTTATTCAATATTATTTATAATATTAACATAGCAAAAATTATGAAACTTATTTCATTGAAAATACATTAAGAATAATAATAATGATAAAACTGATAATGATAATAATAATAATTATTATCATTAAACTTCTTTCTGCTAAACCATGCCAGTAATATTTACAATAGCATATAATTTGATAATAATAAAAATAATAATAGTAATTATAATAATTATAATAACAATAGTCTTAATAATAATAATAGTAATAATAATAATAATAATAAATAATAATAATAATAATAATAAATAATAATGGTAAAAATAATAATAATAATTATAATAATAATAAAAATAATAATAATAATGATCATAATAATAATAATGATAATGATAAAATAATAATCATAATAATGATAACATCAATGTTAATAATAATAATGATAATAATAATAATAGTAATAATAATAGTAAAATAATTACAACAATAATACTAATGAAAATAATAATAATCATGATGATAATAATAATCATAGTAGGAAATAACAGTAATGAAAATAATAAGAATAATAACAATGGTAATAGTAATAATAATGATAATAATAATACTAATTATGATAATTATAACAATAATAATAATGAAAATAATAATAATCATGATGATAATAATAATCATAGTAGGAAATAATAATAATTATAACAATAATAATTATCATAATAATAATCATAATCATATTAGCAAATAACGGTAAACTTAATAACAACAATACTAATAATAAAAGGTATAATAATAATATTTATAGTAATAATAATAATAATAGTAATAATGACAAGCGACACGTGATAAGCAGTGTCTAACTAAAATTACCATGTTTAACTAGTTAGAAAAATGTAATTGATAAAAATTAAAAATTAGGTTGCAACAACGCAATATTACAAGATTACCGCTGAATGCAATAATAACTGTCATTTACTCACAATCAAAACAATAATAAATTTGATGAATCCTTAAGCGCATATAACTATCAAATCATCTTAACAAACAATAGTAACTTTTCAACAACAATACCAGGCAAAGTGATTATGACGGCAACAATGATAATGATAACTCTTATTTTGTTTGATATTCAGTCCAATAGGTGACCATGTTTGTAATTTATTTATCCAAAATTCTTCAACGGATCCGTCTGTAGATTGTACTTTTATTGTTATTAAATGATTCGATGATGTTGAATTTTATGTCATGTTCTTGATGGGCTGATGAATTAAAATGGTTGGACACAGGTTTGTCTCTGAATGCCCTTATATCCCAAATATGCTCTTTAACTCTCTCTTTAACGCTCCTCCCTGTTTCACCCACATATACAGGTTTATTACATTCTCCGCAACTTATCAGGTAAACTACATTCTTGGTGTTACAGTTCCCACCTCTATATATACTGTATGTAGTATCTTTCCCTTGAAACAATTCGCTCTGTGGTAGGAACATGCAAGTCTTACACCCAGGTGTATCACATGGACCACTACAACGGCTGCTCTTTATTATACCTTTCTGTTTTTTTAGTTTTCCATGAATTAAAATGTCTCTAAAGTTTTTTTGATCTTTTGTATGCTACAATTGGTGGTGACCTAAATACATCTGTCATTCTTTTAGATTTTTGCAGAATATTCAATTGTGAAGAAAAATCATGAATATTCTGCAAAAATCTAAAAGGATGACAGATGTATTTAGGTCACCACCAATTGTAGCATACAAAAGATCAAAAAACTTTAGAGACATTTTAATTCATGGAAAACTAAAAAAACAGAAAGGTATAATAAAGAGCAGCCGTTGTAGTGGTCCATGTGACACACCTGGGTGTAAGACTTGCATGTTCCTACCACAGAGCGAATTGTTTCAAGGGAAAGATACTACATACAGTATATATAGAGGTGGGAACTGTAAAACCAAGAATGTAGTTTACCTGATAAGTTGCGGAGAATGTAATAAACCTGTATATGTGGGTGAAACAGGGAGGCGCGTTAAAGAGAGGGTTAAAGCGCATATTTAGGATATAAGGGCATTTAGAGACAAACCTGTGTCCAACCATTTTAATTCATCAGCCCATTCAGAGAATGACATAAAATTCAACATCATCGAATCATTTAATAACAATAAAAGTACAATCTACAGACGGATCCGTGAAGAATTTTGGATAAATAAATTACAAACATGGTCACCTATTGGACTGAATATCAAAACAAAATAAGAGTTATCATTATCATTGTTGCCGTCATAATCACTTTGCTGGTATTGTTGTTGATAATGTTACTATTGTTGTTAAGATGATTTGATAGTGATATGCGCTTAAGGATTCATCAATATTATTATTGTTTTGATTGTGAGTATATGACAGTTATTATTGCATTCATCGGTATTTTTGTAATATTGCGTTGTTGCAACCTAATTTTTAATTTTTATCAATTACATTTTTCTAACTAGTTAAACATGGTAATTTTAGTTAGACACTGCTTATCACGTGTCGCTTGTCATTATTACTATTATTATTATTATTACTATTAATATTATTATTATACCTTTTATTATTAGTATTGTTGTTATTAAGTTTACCGTTATTTGCTAATATGATTATGATTATTATTATGATAATTATTATTGTTATTATTATTATTATTTCCTACTATGATTATTATTATCATCATGATTATTATTATTTTCATTATTATTTTTGTTATAATTATCATTATTAGTATTATTATTATCATTATTACTATTACCATTGTTATTATTCTTATTATTTTCATTACTGTTATTTCCTAATATGATTATTATTATCATCATGATTATTATTATTTTCATAAGTATTATTGTTGTAATTATTTTTTATTATTATTATCATTATAATTATTACCATTGTTGTTATCATTATTATGATTATTATTTTATCATTATCATTATTATTATTATTATTATAATTATTATTATTATTATTATTATTATTAAGACTATTGTTATTATAATTATTATAATTACTATTATTATTTTTATTATTATCAAATTATTTGCTATTGTAAATATTACTGGCATGGTTAAGCAGAAAGAAGTTTTATGATAATAATTATTATTATTATTATCATTATCAGTTTTATTATTATTATTATTATTCTTAATGTATTTTCAATGAAATAAGTTTCATAATTTTTGCTATGTTAATATTATAAATAATATTGAATAAGGAGAGCAACGTTATGCAGAGGAACAATGTGGACGGAAAACGTCATCATCATGTTTTGCGTAATTTTTATTGTTGACGTAAACGACATCATTTCCTGTATGCATAACATAGTTTAAGATAAGACATGTAAGAAGATAGATATGTGATTTATATAAAAATAAACAGATACTCCTTGAAAAAGAGGGGTTTAACCCCTCGAAACGTTGGAGATAGAAAAGTTTGTGTAGTAAAAGATTTAAAATATATTTACTTTTTACAAGTTTATGCTGCCCTTAGTTGCACAATTTTATGCAAAATTGAAATGACTTCTTTAGCGACGAATGACTGTAAAATCAAAACGTGCAAAAGGTTAGATTTAAATTTTGAATAAAAAAAAAGTTAATCGTTGATTGGGTTTTTAAGTTGAGCTAGAATACTGAAAAACAGAGCATTTATAAGCTTCGTACTCAATCCTTTTTCAGCAATTCATATTTGTATTTAGTACATTGTTACTTGTAGTATCTGTATATATACTGCTATTTTTTTTCAGATGCAATGTTGAACAAATGTTTTGCTATTGTGTAAACATGTTTATTTATGTATTTTTGTACTTATGTTTGTATTGCATAACAGTCTGTAAATCTGAACTACTTGTGCGCCATTTTGAACATTGATAAGGCATGTCAGCACGCGCAGCATTCTGCAAGTGGGTCGCGCGCCAGTCCACTTTTGCAAATAACAAACGCAAGCTGTAAGCGCTTTTTGTTAGATTATTGGAGTTGAAGTGTGGTTGTTGTTTGTTTGAGTTGTTGTAGTTTAAGTCATGAAGCTAAATATAGATCTGTATTTAAATGTAAAATTTGCTTTTAGACTGTTGCTAGTATATGATTATGGTTTATTTTATTTGAAATTTTATAATTATGCTTTCACTTGCACTTAATCTATACAAGTATAGAGTTCTAAACGAAAACGTGTCTAGACAGATTTCTGTTAAAACAGAGTAATTTCGAGCACTTTCTTTATAGAAATTTTGCTGCTTCTTTAACTTCTGGACACCTCGCCGATTATTCCTACTCCTAGAGACTGACGGAAATAGTCGGTATGTTGCTTTTGTTCGCAAATTCCATTCGACTAATAAGAAGTTCTTACTTTCCTGTCATTTGGATAATTTAATAAATCTTCAACAGCTGTAAAAAGACCCCTACGCATGCATGCAAGCAAACTTGTTTAAATACTGCTTAAAAAATGAATCTATTTATTTGATAAAGCGTTTTTAAAAAAAACAACATCTTATGAAGACATTAATTTCAAATGTGTTTGACAGAGTAAAAAATAAATAAAGAAAGAAACGTTTTTGTTCGATTGTATTTCGATTATTTATATATTCGTATAATAAAATATATATTATTTTCACAAGCGGTTACAATTATGTTACAAGTGTCTCTCTTATTGTGGCATTTTCATTACATTTAATCCGACTATGTTTACATAAAGCAAGTTATATCCTGGTTTTATTGTCAAAACTGTATCAATGAATGTTTTTGCGACTACCGCATCCCACATATTTTTCAAATTTAACAGTGCAACATGAATTTAAAAAGTAGAAAGTCAAGGTAAATTAAGTATGGTTAAAATGTTTGATAAAACTTTCCAACTGAATTCTTGCATCTTCATTATCCTGGCATCGGTGAATTTTTGCGTCCATGTCAACAGCTATATCAATAAATTTGATGTGCCGATACTTGTCTGTTTTTGGTAGTTTCTGACTTGTTTTAAATATAGGTAAAGACCCTTCCGAACAGGAATGAAGAAGAGCAACAGCGAACTTGACGTTCCCTGAAATCAAAGTTCATCTTTGAATAAGACTCAGATATTAGTATTACAATACATTAAATGCATATAACTACAAGAATTTTGGCTTTTGTGAATATGACAAAGGTGAAAATCGATACAAATCCGTGATTCCTTGTCAATATGTTTGAGGACAATTGAACTAAATAAATAACCCCATTATAATCAGACAATTAACAATTTCATATGATTAAAACAATTTACTGTACAGGCTTGCTTTTTGCATTTTAAATAGAAGCAAATATTAACAAAGAGAAAATAGAGTTAGTAAGAATGCTAAATCAGAAAAATTTGGCATGGTTTATGATCGGTTAAATGGACGGTATTTGACAATGCAAACTAACATCCCAATTTCTACACTGATCTAACAGAATGCAATATTTAAACATGTATAATTTTATGATGAAATTTACAAACCAGGCATTTTTCGAATTGCAGCGTCAATGCTATCTTCGGGCCTGGAACATATTGGGCACACAACAATCAAAGGGGAATCCTTGAGTAAACTTCCAACATCTTCGCATAGTTCACATTCATATGGGTTGTTTCTTACAATACCTTTAAATAGGCCATTAACCCACAAAGCGAGAAAAGTAAAGATGTGAGAACAAAACCCTTTGTCTTTGTTTTTTACCGCTTGAGAGAACCATTTCCTAAGTACTGGAATAAAAAAATGAAGTAGCCATACATAAATATACATTTTTAATATTTTTCTGACGTTTAACATCAAAACTAAACAACGATGAACATACAGATTTTTCACCGGAAGAACATTGATAAGGTTATTGTTAAAGCGAAAGAAAGCAAGGATGCTCCCCGAATAAGTTTTGGACACAGCAAGGTATACATCTTGTAGTGTCAGGGTTATGTCACAGACAAAGTTCAAAGTGTAAAAACAACACAAATGTTGCGCGCGACATATTGTCCAAATATGGCTTCAAATAATGAAGTTATTGACCTGACACTATTTTGCTGCAAGGTCATGCTGTGACCTTGACCTTAGAGGTAGCGACCAAAATGTTGCGCGTGACTTGTCACCTCAATACGGTGATTATTTCTGTGAAATAGTTTTAAAATCCGACCTCAAATAATGAAGTTATGGAACGGACACGATTTTGCTGCAAGGTCATGCTGTGGCCTTGACCTTCAAGGTAGCGACCCAAATATTGTGAACGACACGTTGTCTTAATATGGTGATCATTTCTTCCTTAAATGTCATATTAAGATTGCCCCAAATTTATACCTTTACCTACAGACTATATTAACATTTTTAAACACCTGTTAATAAGAGGATCTAAGTAATACATTTCTGTTGTTTTTTTTATCCATATTTTAAAAAAAAGTTCTGAAAATGTTTAAACCTGTCCACCTTCATGTCAACAGGTAAACAATTCTAAAACAAACAGACTGTTTACTTAAATATCTATAAATTAACGTAATTTAGGCGTACTTTTACATTATTGGAATAAACTTAGTCAAAAATTCCTACTATATATTTATTTTTTGTTTACATGTGTATAGTTTCTTAGTGTAGGTTAGACTGAAATACCTATATGTGTATTAAATGTATTATTATTACTATTATTATTTTCATCAATATTATTATTTTTGTTGGAGTTGTTGTTGTTGTTGTGTTTGAGGTCGTTCGAAGACTGTCAAAAAGGCCTTAAAAATACGATTGATTCTACATACTCCTTATATTAAGCATAATGTAAGAAGAAGATAATTAAAACTAACAAATTCGACATTTATAATTGAACAATAAACAAACCTAATGTATTCAAATAAAAATTAAAACAAATACGTTTAGTTAGGCGAATAAAACATACATGCACATTTAAATTTCTTAAAATCCGGATTTGGAATAAGCTTGTGAAATAGTCTAATTTTAACTATAATATAATTTGTTTTCAATAAATAAGCAATATATTTATATATCTTCGTGAATTTAATTCAGTCAAACACACACTTTCATAGTATATGAACATTGCCGTGCAGTTTGGGATTTTATTGAATTAAACAGGTGCTCTTATTAAGATGTTCTTGTGTAACCAGACCTGCATAAAACTTTTCATTTTGAAAATGTAACACATTGTTCTATACACCTTAAGGCCATATTTGGTGTTTAGTGAACCTTGCTCTATGTGCATAAAAAGAACGGGAAAATGTTACAATAAGCTAAAAACAATAGAGTTAATGAAATGTGTAGATTACTGTTTTAAGTAAGATAGATAGATACTTTTATTTCCTCCAATATTTGAAGAGCTGATACCAAAGTGTTGACTTGAAACTCCACCATACCTACATATTTTACATTTCAGAGTACAAACTACACTTCTAGCTACTCCCTTAGTTAATGCATTATTGAAATTAGTCAGACTGATTAGACGACAGATTTATGTAGTTAGTACACATTAACAAAAGTTAGACTCAACAGAAATTCGAAAAATACGTACTGCAATGTGATTAGACAAAAAATGTTGATATTTTAGTCAGTTTTGTAGCAATATAAGCACTATTAAATTTCGCTTAGTTTTGAAAAAAATATGTAACTCTTACATTATTTTCCTGCAATTACTTATATCAATATATATCAAGCAGTTGCAAAAAAATGTTAGTAAGTTGCTTTTTGTTGAAGGAAAATTGTTTTGAAAAGTGCTTCCGAGGGTTCACTTTCTTTTCAGAGATTGAAATATTATTTCAATAGAAATTATGAATTAAAGTACTTTGTCGAATCTGACCAAAAAAAGTTGTTTTCATAATTATATCTATATATTTCTAACATAAGAAACAAGCACTTATCAATTTTTTAAGAAAAGAGAATTCAACATTACGGTTCTTAGGTTATACACATATAATCGCTGTGTTACATGGAGAGTTTGTAATTAAAAACAAAAAAAGATTTATAGATTTGCTCTAAACGTTACCAAATCGGACGCAAATAAATTTCTTAAATACTTACAATACACGCCAATCAGCAACCCTATAACAATTCCTTTTCTGGTCTTGACAAAGAACCTTTGGAGAGGGCATTCCTGCGATAGTAAAGTTGAGATTGCGGTTCGAAATTCCTCAGACTTTTGTGTTTGTATTGGTATCAGTATTTGAACAGTCTTTGATTGACTAGCTTTTCTATAGAACCATTTACAGAGTACTGGAATAACAGAAAAACAATGGATAAAGCAATACAAACATGTATTTTCTTTTATAGTTTAAGGCACATTTTGCTTTCAAAAATAAACACATCGTTTCTTCTTTACAAAGGGCAAACATCAGGTTATAACCATTCGATAATGGTTTTAGCGATGTTAGATGGTTT